AACTAAAATAGGAAGATTTAATATTTATTAGTAATTGTTAATCATCTTAGTGGATGGGTAGAGGTATATCCAACAATAACAGCTATGACTGGAGTTGTAATAAAAGTACTTTTAGAACAAATTAAAAAATATATATATATAGAACAAACTATGTCTATGTATATCATATATATACAACACACAAAAATATGCATTGAAAAAATATGATCACATTATCTATCCTTTAAAAAACAACTTACCTTTTTCACTTAACAATATGTCTATGTTTCCATGACAACCCCATTATTTTCCTTTTCTTTTGAGTTGGAGTCTCTGTTGTCCAGGCTGGAGTGCAGTGGCACACTCATGGCCACCCCAGTGTCGACCTGCTGGGCTCTGGCAATCCTTCCGCCTCAGCCTTTCAAGTAACCAGAACTATAGGCGTGTGCTACCATGCCCGGCTAATTCTTCATTTATTGTAGAAATGAGGTCTCGCTAAGTTGCCCGGGCTGATCTTGAACCCGCAGATGCAGGCAATCCATTTACCTCAGCCTCCCAAAGTGCTGGGATTTCAGGCTGAGCCACCGTGTCTGGCTGACAACCCCATTATTTTTCAATGGCATTTTGTCATGTGGATGGGCCATCATTTATGTAACCATTCCCCTGTTACTGGACATTTGGTTGTTTCCATTTTGTGACTATTCAAGACGAGTCTAGGATAACCATCCCTGTCCTTATATCGCTGGGCACAAAAGTGGAATATAAATAAGCGTTCAAAGAGGCAAGTGCCAAGCCGATGCAGTGGTTCATGCCTGTAATCTCAGCATTTTGGGAGGCCAAGGTGGGAAGATCTCTTGAGCCCAGGAGTTTGAGACCACCCCGGGCAACAAAGTGAGAACTTGTCTCTACAAAAATAAAAATTTTTTAAATTAGCCAGGTATAAGCCGGGCTCGGTGGCTCAGCCTGTAATCCCGTGCCTTGGGAGCCTGAGGTGAGTGAATTGCCTGAGCTCACGGGCTCGACACCTGCCTGGGCAACTTGGTGAGACCTCATCTCTACAATAAATCAAAAAATCAGCCGGGCGTGGTAGCGGGCGCCTGTAGTTCCAGCTACTTGGAAGGCTGAGGCAGAGGGACCGCCGGAGCCCAGCAGGTCGAGGCTGCGGTGGCCGGGAGCAGCCACTGCACTCCAGTCTGGGCAACAGAGTGAGACTCTCAACTTAAAAAAAAAAAAAATTAGCCAGGTATAGTGATGCATGCTTGTAGTCCCAGCTACTCAGGAGGCTGAGGCAGGAGGATCACCTGAACCTATGAGGTTGAGGTTGAAGATCACCTGAGCCCAGGAGGTGGAGCTTGAGGTAAGCCATGATCATGCTCCTGCACTCTAGCCTGGGAGATAGAGTAAGATCCTGACTCAGACTGGGCTCAGTGGCTTAGCCTATAATCCCAGCACTTTGGGAGGCCGAGGTGAGTGGACTGCCTAAGCCCCAGGTTCGAGACCCACCCGGACAACTTGGTGAGACCTCGTCTCTGCAGTAAATAAAAAATTAGTTGGGCATAGTAGCGCATGCCTGTAGTTCCGGCTACGTGGAAGGCTGCGGCGGAAGGATCGCCGGAGCCCAACAGGTTGAGGCTGCGGCGATCTGGAGCATGCCACTGTACTCCAGTCTGGGTGACAGAATGAGACTGTAACTCAAAAAGAAAAAAGATTCTGACTCAAAGAAAAAAACGAAACAAACCCCTCAAAAAATAAAACAAAAAAGCCCCAAAAGACAGGTACCAAATAAAACAGTGTGCTCGGACACACCCTGTGGGATCCGGGGGGCCATCTGAACCCCAGACTGTAGTGCCCAGACCCACAAAAGCAGGATGGGGTCACAGACGCTTCTAGTTGTCAGGGCAAGTCCGACCATGCTTTTCCTCTTTCAGAGAAGGAAGTGCCGGCCCAGAGTGGTGACATCACTTGTGAGGCCACACAGCTGGCCAGGACCACAGCAGGGACACGGACCGGCCGGTTCCTCTGACTCTGAGCCTGTGAGCTGTCCTCCTGGACACATGTCCTTGGCTCCTCTGTTCCCTGTGTGCACGGTCTTTTCTGTCACTCACTCATTCACTTATCTACTCATTCAACTCACTCCCACAACTTAAAAAAAACCATTTTTTTAAAAGCAGATTTATTGAGAGGACAGAAAAGCTTCCAGAGTGGGAGGGGACCTGACAGGGTTACCCTCCTGCAACGCCTTGAGGCCTGCTATATGCCGGTCCCCACGGAAGGACCAAGCCGGTCCCCACGGAAGGACCAACGGGAAAAGCAAAGATGACTCTCCAAGGGTCTCACCCCTGCAGACCGCCAGGCCTCCCTGGAGGCATCACTTTGATCTGCTGTCCATTGCTGAGAGGTGGGGTGGGCGTGAAGTGACTGGCCTGGGCCCACAGCTGGTACCAGGATTCAGATCCAGGTCTCAGACTAAAGCCTGTGTCTCTAACCATGTGATGATACTACCTCTCTTTTACTCGGCAGCAGGAGGTTTCTGGTAGCTTTTGGTGCCTAGAGCAGTTTAGACATTGTAGATGCTTGTTGTCTTTAAATGTTGAAAATATATAGGCCGGGTGCAATGTCTCACACCTGTTATCCCAGCACTTTGGGAGGCTGGGCAGGAGGATTGCTTGAGCCCAGGAGTTTGAGACCAGCCTGAGCAACATAGTGAGAAGTCTCTACAGAAAAAGTAGACAGATGTGGTGGTGCATGCCTGTAGTCCCAGATTCTTGGGAGGCTGCGGTGGGAGAATCGTCTGAGCCCAGGAGGCGGAGGCTAAGGTGAGCCGTGATTGTGCCACTGCACTCCAGCCTGGGTGACAGAGTGCGACTCTCACTCACACACACACATACACACACATACAATAAAATGCAAATAATTGTTTAAGATCCAGCGTTGGCAACAAAGAGAGATCCCCATCTCTACAAAAAAGAAAATAAATTAGCTGGGCATGGTGGTCCATGCCTGCAGTCTCAGCTACCGGGGAGGTCAAAGTGGGAGGTTCATTTGAGCCCAGGGACTGGAGGCTGCAGTGAGCTGTGATCAAGCCACTGCTCTCCAGTCTGGACCACAGAGTGAGACCCTGTCTCTAAAAGCAAACAGATGATTGTTTGATAGACTTACCACCAACACGAACAAGCGTACGTATCACTGGCTTGTTACTTAACCCTTGCTGTGTGCGTGCCAGCCTTGGAGAAAGCGCACGTCCCTGTGTCCCCTGGTTTAATCAGCACAGCAACTTCCTAGACAGGCTTGTCTGTCCTTCCTGCGATGGAGCAAACCGATGCTCACGGAGGTGAAGGGGTCGATCCAGGCCGTTGCGTGGAGCCAGCAGGGAAGCCCAGGAGTCAGACACCGCCCCCCCCGCCCCC